GGCTGCATTACTGTGTATGTTTTAGGACATCATTAGACCACCGCATCAGGGTTCACACAGACAGAACAACTGCTCAATCTCCTGCACCTCTCCGCTAGAGCCAGTCTCCTACCTCCTACACCTCTCTGCCAGGGCCAGCCTCCTGCACCTTGTCGCCAGGGCCAGCCTCCTACACCTCCCGCCAGGGCCAGCCTCCTACACCTCTCCACCAGGGCCAGCCTCCTACACCTCTTCTCCAGGGCAAGCCTCCTACACGTCTCCTCCAGGGCAAGCCTCCTACACTTTTCCACCAGGGCCAGCCTCCTACACCTGTCCTCCAGGGCAAGCCTCCTACACCTCTCCGCCAGGGCCAGTCTCCTACACCACTCCACTAGAGCAAGTCTCCTACACCTCTCTGCCAGGGCCAGTCTCCTACACCAATTCGCCAGGGCAAGCCTCCTACACTTCTCCGCAAGGGCCAGTCTCCTACACCTCTCCACCAAGACCAGTCTCCTACACCTCTCCTACACCTCTTCTACATCTCTTCCTCCATGTCTGCTAGAGGGCAAACATTCTTCTTCTAAGGTTTCACCCAACCTTTGAGAGGGCATGAGCCCAATAAAACTGGGCTGCAAATATTGGCTGATTTGGGCCAACCAATAAATTGGTCAGACTCTTAATTGGACAGTAATGCCAGTTACTCCCCTGGTAGCAGACTCATGCTTATCATGTATTTTCAGTGTTGTTATTGTAATGGCTATTACAATTTCAGTGTACATCAAGAAATAAAAATAATCACTAGATTATTCAATTAAAAAATTGCCATATGTAAGTGTTATCCCTGTAGAAGATGTTCACTTATTTTCACTTGAAAAAACAACAAAACATGTCATTTGATCAGGATGCTCAGAATTTTGATTATGACTGTAAATTAAAGTTCAGGCCAATGCTTATAAATTGAAAAATGCTAATGGCAAAAGCTAACACTGCTAAACACTAATAGCTAGCAGATTTGTGTTGGTATCTTGGCAGAACCATGACGTATTGCAGCCTGGCAAGCAGAACGGTCTTAATTCAGTATTGGGAAACTATTAATTACACATGCGCACATGAAATCTTAATCAATACACACCTGCTTAATGATTACAAAATCAATATTTTTTTTTTTACTTAACCCTTGTCATGTACCTAACCCCACCTCTGATCCTAAATTTAAGCTTTGTCCCAAAACTAACCACAAATCTCTTCTTAAAACCAAGCCAAAACCTAATCCCAACCCTCATTTTGGACCTACATTTAACCATTTTCCTAACCATAACCCTGGCTCTGGCCTTGACTTTAACCCTTGTCCTATACCTAACCCTACCTCTGATCCTAAATTTAAGCCTTGTCCCAATACTAACCACAAATCTCTTCTTAAAATCAATCCAAAATATAATCGAAACCCTCATGTTGGACCTACATTTAACCATTTTCCAAACCCTAACCCTAGCTACGGCTTTTAGTTTAACCCTTGTCCTATTCCTAACCCTCCCTCTGGTCCTAAATTTAAATCTTGTCCCAATACTAACCACAAATCTCATTTTAACATCAATCCAAAACTTAATCCCAACTCTTATTTTGGACCTATATTTAATAATTTTCCTGACCCTAGCTGACATTAGAAGTTGCAATCAGGTTTTGAACCTAACCTTTACTTCAAAATAAAAAATAACTTTGCTTCAAAATTAAGAACTTTAAAAAAGTCATGCTCCTTTGAGACCTAATAGAGTGGTGGTATACTTTAAATGGCCAATACTGGAGGCCAGCCTCAACCAGTGGCTCTATGGGGCTCCATTAGGCTTGACTGACCAATGAAGCTAAGCAAGGCTGGTCCAGGTCAATGACTGGATAGGAGACCATGCTGCATTGCCAGAAGTTCAAAGCTTTGCAAGCAAACCTTTATTTTGAGACTGAACTATGGATACAGTGAAAAGAAGTTCATACTGTGGGGCTATGCAGAAGGCTTAAGACAAATAGTAAGGCTGCATGTACTTGGTTATAGTATATGCTACTGAATTACTTTTCAAGACTTTCCAGCTTCCGCCAGTAACCCTTGGTCTGGTCTCATGTCAGAAACTAAGCAATGTGGGGCTTGGTCAGGGCATGTATTGAAAATTAACTGACATTAGAAGTTGCAATCGGGTTTTGAACCTAACCTTTACTTTGAAATAAAAATAACTTTTATTCAAAATGAAGTGTCCTGGTCTTAGTAGATCACAAATGTAGTTTGTTTAAACATTAAGCATTTAAGCATTTCATTTCACCATGTGGGCAATGCCCATTAGCATAACTTATTTTCTTTTTTACTTTGTATCTTTTGTAAATCTATAAGAACAAGCATATGTTATGTAGCTTTCTGTTAAAAATAGCTTTTCTTTGCTGCCGTAACGGTGGCTAAATTTAACGTGGTCCCAGTTACTGTCGAGCATGTCAGTGAGATTCATATTCTGTAGGAATTTCTACTTCGTTGAGACATGTATGAGCTAAAAAGGATTTATTTGTATTTTTGCAGTTTCACAATAAAGGAATAGGAGAAAGGGAACTGAAGACCAAGCTCTACTTCCATGTTCTTTGTCTATTCTATATCCATCATGTTTAGCTTGCTGGAGAGCTAGGTAGCAGCCACACTTAGTGAGCCCAGTACATTAAGAACTCAGCCTCTATTTTGTACTAATAGAGTATTGGGATACTTTAAATGGCCAATACTGGAAGCCAGCCTTAACCAGTGACTCTATGGGGCTGGGAACCCTTAGGCTTGACTGACCTATGAAGCTAAGCAAGGCTGGTCCAGGTCAGTGACTTGATGGGAGACCATGCTGCATGATGAAGTTCATACTGTGGGACTAAGCAGAAGGCTTAAGACAGCAAATAGGAAGTCTGCATGTACTTGGTTATATATTCTACTGGATTACTTTAGAAGATCTGTATTAGCTTCCAGCTTCAGCCACTATACACAAATCTATGAGAACCCTTGGTCTGGTCTCATGTCAGAAACTAAGCAATGTGGGGCTTGGTCAGGGCTTGTATTGAAAACTAGCAAACATTAGAAGTTGCCATCAGGTTTTGAACCTAACCTTTAATTTCAAATAAAAATAACTTAATAAATTAAGAACTTTAAAAAAGTTAGCCTTCATTGAGTCCTAATAGAGTGGTGGGATACTTTAAATGGCCAATACTGGACATTTGGCAGTACATATGGACCATTCTACTGAAGTGGTTCAAATTAGTTTAAAAAATTATTGCTTTAATAAAGCATTAAGACCTTAAATATTTACAAGGATTATGATCTTTTTAAACACAAAGCATTAACTAAGATAGTAAAAAAGCAAAAATGTATACAAAATCATGACTTATAGGTTACTTTCTACTAGGTGGCTGTCACATACTCTAACCCTAAATTTAAATGAATGAAAATAATACTTTCTTTTTTGTATTTTTTTTTTCAATTTTAAAATATATTTTAGATGGAATATGTAGTTTATGAGCTTAATATTTAAAATAAAAAATGCTTTATTCAAAAAATGCTGTCCCACGTTTTCATGTCACTACCAAAAAAAAAAAGTGGAGCCTCATTTTAGCCACACCCCAGCAACAGGACATGAGACTGCATGCTTATCCCTCATAGCCACAATAAAAATGCTGTTATCAGTGCAATGTAATATCACTGGGATACCAGCTGTGGAATCACCTAGCTGGATGAAGTGTGCTGAAGCAGGGAATAGTTGAAACTATGCAGGGACCAGGATTAGGAAGCACTGCTAATGATTTCTTTTGCCCTCAAGAGGGCAGCAGAGAACTCTGTATTCATGTTATACTTGATCTGTTTGCTTTAAGAAATAAGTTTTGATTAAGTCTCCTATAATCTTTCTCCCAAAAGCAGGATGTCACAAAGGATTTGTGCTTTCTTTCATTACAGTTTTGGATGCTAATCAATCAATGTCTAATTCTGAGCATGTTCGCTGTATGTAATATGTGAGATGCTGGATGCTGCACCATTTGTAGAGAGAGTTAAATTTGTGTTTAATTTTTCTGCTACAGTTCTCACATCTAGTGTGTATGCTGTGTTACAGAGTGACTGAATGAGGACAGACTGTTGCAGCATCAGTTGGTATGAACAATTACCACTGAGGGAATCAGCACTGCTGTCTGATCTAAAATTTGAGTGCCATAGTTGGTGCTGCAGTCCGATGCCTGTAATTCTTGTTGTTGTTTGACCTCAGACGTAAGTGTAGGTCCTTAAAGGGACAGGGAGGCATAAGAAACACACAGGGCAAGGGGTTGTTTCCATGGCAACGTGTTGTGTCTGAATGTAGAAACTCAAGTGGAGAAAACGGAATGTAATAATGAGGTTTTCTTTAATTAAAAGGCTTGGCAGCACTTGATCCATAGAAATGAATCAAATAGGACAGAATGCACAAATTGGGAATACTGCTACATAACAATCACATTACTGTGCCATACACAAGTCACAGCAGACGTCATATGCTGTCATAACAGATTATGTCTAGTGATATAGTATTACCTTTAATTGCTTTGACAGATGTCATCACGTGTGATGTTATGACAGCTATCTAAAGTGCATTTAGCAAACATTATATAACACAACCTGTCATGACAGTTACCATCAGTGGTAACATGACACTTATTTTATTGAACAGAATCTGTCATGCAAACTCATTCAATACCATGACATATTTACAGCATGGTTATATCAATGTTACGTGACAGGGTTTGTGTAGAGTGTTGCCAGATGTTTCATGCAAGTTGCTAGCAATGCAGAAATCTTATTATTTTAAGGGTGTGCACAGTCTCAAGGGATCTGAAGGGGCAGAACTCTGTGAAGGTGATTTCACACAGCTCTGACGTCAGTATGCGCACACATACGCCGTCATATGTTAGGGGGGTGGGGTGTTGGTGACAGACTTATCCTCATTGAGAATGGATAGTCTGTCCTCAAAGCCCTCCCTCTCCACCACATCCCCCTCTTTTCCCTTTTCTTCCCTCCTCCCCTCTCGCTCTCCAGTGCTTGGCTGAGCGCGTATCAGACAGAGGACAGTGCATCACACACGCGTACACACACGTGGTGCTCCTTCATCCCCTCACTCATCTCTCTCCTGGCTCTCACTCTCTCTCTCTGCGTCTCTACCTCTCTTCTTGGCGCCTGTCTTCTTCTTCTCTGGGATCAGTCTCGTCCACTCTCTTGCCACTCTTGCAATGAGAGCACAGGAGTAAACGGCCAGGTGGAGTAAAAAGCTCTCCCCATCTGTCTTTTTTGTTTTTCCTCGTCTTTGGTGGATCCAGGCACAGAGCATTGAGAATGTTCATTTCAGCAGCAGTGGTGCTGGGGGCCACCCTGGGGACAGTGTCCGGAGCGCTTACGCTCTGTGGCCTCTCATTGCTCTGCAGGAACTGCAAGAAGGGCAAACTGGAGAGAGGGGACAGCGCCGACCCTGAGAAAGCCAAAGCCAGCATCCTGCACACACTCACTCAGGTAAGAGGCATGCGTGCACAAATGCAAACAGGATTATATAGACAGGCACAGAAAGAGATGAACGAACACACCTATTCTAGATTCGCTTAGATGAGTAAGTGGCATAGACATGCACAAGACTGCACTTACACATGAACACACTGGTGCTGTTCTACACACTGAAAGAAAGATGGTTCTTGAAGGGTTCTTTAGTAAAGAAAATGGTTCTATATAGAACAGTGAAAGAACCCTTTGTATAATAAATAAGGGATTCTCAGCACTGTGAAAGTTCTTTAGATTGATGGAGAAAGTGTTGTATATGGTATATAGAACCTTTACGAAAACAGTTCTACATGGCACCAAAAAGGGTTCTGCTATTTTTAAAAGCTTGACATCGTAACAGTAGAATAACTCTTTTAGGTACCAAATAGAGCCCTTTTCAAAAAGGTTCTATATAGAATCATCTTCAGCACATTCTCCATCATGGTGAAGAACACTTCAACCATGCAAAGAACCCTTTAATTATGCAAATGGTTCATTGAGTGTTCGTAGTTCTATATAGAACCATTTTCTTTACTAAAGAACCCTCAAAGAATCATTTTTTTAAAAATTGTAGCAAAATCTCAGAATTCCATTTTTGTCAGTTTTTTCTTACACTATTTAACATCACCAGCTGTCCTTTACAGTTTGAGAACATTTTATGATAAATGGAACAATGGCAATGGTCGAAAACTATTTAGAATAAAATTTAAAAAGTTAAGAATGCTTTTACTCATCCTATGAATTTACAATTTCATAAGTTTATAGTTTACAATAAATTGTTATCTTAAAAACACACACACAACGAAAAAGCCATGGTTATACTCAAGACCACGCTTACATACAAACAAAACCATAAAAACATTAACAGTTTTAATTGGATAAGAGACACGCAGTACTGTGCAAAAGTCAGAGACCACCCTTCATTTATTTAATTGCCAGTCAAATTATCCATCAAGCAAAAGTTATTTATTGTTCATGAGACATTTATAAGAAAATTAGACAATCCACTAGCCTAAGTCAAGGGAAAATCAAAGTAAAATGAGTAAAAAAAAACAACATTAAAAAATCAATATTAAAAGATATGGACAAGAAAAAATTAAAATTTGCAAATCAAACACAGAATGTTCTTGATGTTCTTGGTACATCATTCATTGTGTGGGAATTATTTTAATTGAAAAAAGATGAAAATGCAACCAGCTTCTAAGGCTGAACTTCCAAGGTGTGGAAAAATATCCCAGCAGATTTAATAAAGGCAAAGGGTGGAAACCCTTATTGTTATGCTGAAAAATGAATACTTAATTGCTGTTTTGACTGGAAATGAAATGAATGAAGGGCGGTGTCTGACTCTTGCACAATGCTGTACACAGCTACATAGAAACTCACACAAACATGACTGGGCCATATGCACAAAGCAAACACTGACCTTTTGTCACAGCCTCAGGTGATGGAATCATGTGGACAGAACTGGACTGCTTGCATAAGAGGGGTTACAACAAATCAGTCACCTGAGGCTGTGGCAAGTGCAAGTCAGACTGACCAATGCTCTGTTTAAACAGTCTGTGGGTTGGCTAGTCATCAGACATCAAATCTATTCTGGTCACTGGCGCTTCTCAAAACCCTTTACTCACTGACTCTAAACGTGTATTAATTGCACCCTAAACAGTTGAAGCAGAAGAAGCGGGAGATAGCATTAATCTTACACTGGCAGGTTTAATGAAATGTTTGCTGTGTTGAATTGCCTGTGAGTCTGTAGTAATTAGATCCCGTCGAAAGCCAACAGTGGCTTCCTGAGAGACGCCTCATTACAGGATGTTCTGTTGCCCCTCACTCGCTGCACTCTTCACTTGATGTTACTATTTATAGATTTCTGACTTGGCCTTCACACACAGCATTAGCTGTTTGCTGTAATTACTTCACCACTGTAGAGGCAGGGGACAGAACAGTCTGGGTGATAGGATTACAGAATGGACACAGGAGCGGTGTCTGTCACTATTGTCTAGATATTATCCTTGACTCATGGTCTGTGATGTGCTGAATTGTTTAACGATTTAGGTTTATGCTGCACGTCTGCACTAGTCTTAAAGTAACATGTTATGGAGTAGTTTAAGCAGAAAAAGTCAGTGACTTGCTCAAAGACGTATTTCTTTTAATTCATCTGCCATGAGTCTAAAATACCTCTTTTGCAAGTATCTTCTTTGCCTTCACTGACTGAAAACTCAAGAGGTTCTCCGTTCAGACAGTACTGAAAGCGTCACCAGGCTGCGTAGATCAATGGGCTAATGAGCACAACGGCAGCTGCTCCATTTTTTCATGATGTACTGGGGCTTACATGTGACTCTGCTCTGAAGCTGTCTCTCTGACCCTATTAAACTGAAATGTATTGTTATATGTCATCAGCGTATTCCAAATTTAATGTATTTAAATATAATATACTGAGCCGAAATTATTCATTTAATTTCTGGTCAAAACAGCCATTAAGTACGAGTACAAACAGCTTCTTTGTTTGATGAGTAGATCTTGCCATTCTTAGCAGTATGCTTGGCTTGCAATCTTGCTGCAGAATGAATTTCTTCCCCACCAAATGTTTTCCATTTGTTTGTTCCTATCAGCAGTAATGATGCTTCAATTCAAAAACATATTACACTCCTTATGTTATACATGCCCAACCTTGCAGTAATTCTTCACCATGCTTGACTGATGGCTGCAGACATGGTTCTAAGAGTCTTTCACTGCTTCAGCAGCCTTCTGTTGCTTCCAAATATCCCAATGAAATATATCCTTTCAGACCCATAACGCTAGTTATGTTGTCTTTTTACAATGGATCCCCCAATCAAGTGAAAATAATTTAACACCTCCTCTGCATGTAACAAACTTAAATATGACATGTTTCTACTATTTTTAATGGACAATTATTATTTATCTGCTGAATTTAGCATTTTGGAAAAAATAAAACATGAAATACTGTGTGTGCATAAGTTTGGACACCCTTTAGATGACTACCTCATAAGAATGCTTGGCTGAATCACAGCTTCCAAGTTCAGTCTTTCTTGATTCAATGGTTTTTCCCACTTTTCTTAGACACTCCACAGCATGACTGAGATCTAGCTACAGATTTTTGATCATATTTAAGTCTGAGTATGGTGAAGGCCATTCCATGGCCATTTTGTACATGCCACATTTATTTTCTGTTTTATTTTTCTTCAATATGTTGAATTCAGCAAATACATAAGAATTATGCAGTAAAATTTGCGACATATTGAAAATATATCATATTTACGTTTTTTCTGTCCCATCCGAACTACCTCTCTAATAAGCTGTGCTGTTGAAGAAATGGCAGAAGCACCATGCCGAAAGCAGTCACGCACCACATCTTTGCTGTTTTCTGCAGTCAGATTTTTCAGACACTTGCGCGCGCTGTCTGTGCTTTAGAGCAGGATACACCACAGGGCTTGGTGCTTGGAACCTTCTAGCGTCTATTAATCTTCTTGTTTTGTAAGAATGTTGCAGTCCTGTCACAATTTACTGTTATCAGCTAGATAGCTTACCCTATTACTATTCTCAAGTAAAGACTAATTTTTCTTGCTAACTATTTAAATGGTAATTCCACCAAATTTAAAAAATTCTGCATAATTCAGTCACTGAGATGTAAAAGAGTGTTTTGATGTACGTTGTAGGGAAACTAACTGCCTTGGACCTCTTTAAAATGGCTGTGATAGGAACCAGTAGTCGCAATGTCTACAATGTAAATATAGCCATTTTATTTACGATCCAAAAACAACCAGTGCACTCACATGTGTCTTCTGAGTTTGTATATGTAATATTGATAATGGTAATATATTGATAAATCAAGTTTGGCAAGATGGCTCCCCCTGATGCAAAGTCCCTGGGTCTAATAACGGGCTGTTTAAACTTCTGGATTTCTTAAATGCCTGTGAGAGCTGTTTTTGATGCAGTTCTATGTTAGTTTTTCCTGAAAATGACAAAAAGTATAAATAATGATTTGTGTCAAGAGTATTGCTGTCTCCTGCCAAATCCATCATGGCAGACAGTCAAAATGAATGGCAGATAAGGTTTTCAATCCAATTAACGCTTTAACTGAATATTTGCTAATGCATATTTAAAACTAAGTGGTGCAACACAACCTGATTTGAAATAAAATGCAGATGGTCAAATCCTTGATTATCTCTAGACTCTCATTTTAATCGTTGTTGGTGCAACTCACACTGAATGTCTGTTTTTACATTTTAATCATTTAATAATTCAGAACTTTCCTGAGTTACCTTGCTTTTAGGCCTACTGAGGTATTTTTTTGGCATTCTTATCTGAAATCATTTGGACTTAAAGCTGAGTATATCAATGTTGTGTGATTGTGTTGGACCAACCTGTTTTAAGTAAAGTGCTCTTTCTATCTCTATCTCTATCTTACTCAGTCAAAATCAACTGCTACATTTTGGGAGTTGCAATAATGGCCCATTTATCAATCCATGTCGATCTCTGCCATTAAGTAGTCCCTCTACGAGCCAACTTGAAGTCCTGCTGTTGATTGAAATTCAAAGTATGGCTGGTTAAGGAAGAACCCTACAGTATTGGAAGCAAGGTTATATTTCATAATTCCTAATGGCAGTTAGGCAGCTAATGGCCCCAGCCAAATATAAACACTGCATCTGTGAGTGGAAGTTCTGTTGTGAGTGTATGTATGTCTTTGTCTTACATTACTAGTGAGGACTTCCATTGATTTCTACTGATTTTGTTCTACTGTAGCCAAGTAATGCTATACCTAACACCGACACTCACCTAAACCTAATCCTAACCTTTAACCTTAGTATCCAAAAGGTGTTTCCAAAAATGTAATTGTGGTGAGAACATGTGCTAAAGTGAGAACAAGCACAATGTCCTCATATGAGCAAAAATGTCATGTATTCCTATCATTACGAGGACATGTATTCCTTAAAAGAATAGCAAGACAAGCATAAGTGTGTGTGTGTGTGTGTGGGAGGGAGAATACGGAGGCAGTGGCCTATAATTAGAACACCTGGTCTGGAGGACATTGGCTTTGAATTAGTCAATGGATGCTATTTTCTACCATTTTCCACCTCGCCCCCCCCTTTAATACTGAGCAGAGCAGATTCACACATAAACCCCTCTCCGTGCACACATTCCTACTCATTACTTATTCATACATCATAAATCTTCCACATTCACACACATACTCATCATACACCTTGCAGTCAACACGCACACACTCATTGATTTGATCTAAAGGCTATTTCTGTGTGTTGAGTCTGACTGCATGCCAGGTTCAGAGGGGCTGTCAACATAAAGTCACGACTCACACGCACACATATACACCACACACATGCACACACACACAAACTCATACACACACACACACACACACACACAGTGGCTTACATGCATGCGTGCACGCAACTGTGCATATTCGTAAGGTGTGCATATTCATGTGCAGTCATGAATATTCATTTCCATTCTGCAGTCACAAATGGGTGGGAGTGTGAAGGGGAGACAGTCTTTGTGTATGAATGTATTCGCGAGAAGCAGAGAGAGAATTCTTCAGCAGGGTTTAAATAATTCAGTGATCCTCTCACTGCATAGCTATATTAAGGACATCTGATGAAATCAGAGACAAACGTCTAGTGTTTACCTGGCGTCAACCTGAAATCAAAACTGACGTTTTTGTTCATGTTCTTAGACATGTCGAGCACTATGCATCATATCAGGTCATTTAAAAGACAACATACTTGCTTTCTATCAAAATATAGTAACTGCAGCCAGGCATTAAAAGTTTTTTGGCTACATCACTAAGGCAGTATTAGTAACAGTATTCACCAATACTGTTATGCTATGTTTTACCACCCTCTCACCTTTCATCGAGAATGCTCAGCTACCTTAGACCCTCCCTGATACCATGTTTCATGCAAAAATACACAGCAGTATAGAAAGAAAATGCGCTACGATTTCTGATTCATGTTGAATTCAAAACATGACCTGCAATTCATCAATAACTGTCCTTTCATTCTGTCTATTTGGCCCCTTAAATTGTGAGCCTTTTAATAGAACAATACCTTCAAGTCTGCTCTTTACTCTACTCCTTCAAAGTGCAGCTTTAAACCTTCCACTTTTCATAACACATTCTTCTTGAGACTGTCTTTGTTTTGTTTTATATTGTTGTTATGTTTTTTGCTTTTTTTTAAGGGTAAATTCATGTATGGGATGAGATGTGTGTTCCAGTAATAAATATAGGTAAAGTGTCCTTGACAACATCATAGCATATGTTTTGGATAAACACTTTAAAACATATCAACAGCAGTATTTTTCAAGTATTTTTCCCTGCCCACCTGATAAACTTTATCTTGAAATATAGTCATACAAATATTTCCAAAATTACATTATTTTGCATTAATGCATGAATCCATTTAATATCTCATTCTCAAAACATCCTTTTTTATGAGTCATTCATTATAAGTTATGAACAATGTATATTATGTTACCTGAGAACAACGGGAAGAAGAAAACTAAATTCTCTGATAAAGTCACTTTTTCAAGTGTTAGGGCTTAAATGGCACCCCAACTGCAAAATCAGCCTTAATGTTTTTGATTGAGATGTAGCTGTTGAGCCTATGATGGTCCCTTTCCACTGGTGGATGGGGTATAGGGGGACGGATAAAATGTGCAGCAACAGAAGGGCTGCTATCGGGTATGCTCTTTCTGTATAGCAACCTTGGGTATATGATGCTATAGACCAGGGGTTCCCATCCCAGTCATTGGGACACCATGCTCTGGAACTTGTTGTGTTTTCCTTGTTCCATACACCAAACCCAGGCCATGAGGAGCCTGTTCATTAGTTAATGAGTTGAATAAGGTGTATTAGACGACAAGGACAAAAAAGACAAGGAAAAAGAAAATAGCATAGTGTGGGGTCTCCATGACTAGGATTTAAAAACTATATACAGTCAATATATAGACTGTGTGTAGATTATAAATGTAAATGTAAATATAAATGTAATGTAAATGTAAATGTAAAGTTGTGATCTTATACTATCTGTATTTGCATCAGCATTATTTTTCAACACTGTGTCTTTTACTGCATTGGCATTGTACTTTATAACAATCTAAATTCACTGATCGATAATCAACACACACTTGCACAATTTCAGTTCCTAAATCAGCTCTCACAGATTTTTTTCTTCTTATTTCAAAAATTCATAAGAAGTAAACCCTGACAGCAGGACATCTGTATATTAAACACGGTTTTGTTGTTAGCTTTAGCTCCCTTTTTGGTGCATGAGGCGATTTATGTCTTTTCTAAGAGTTTAATATGATCGTTCTATAATTAAATCCAAAAAATGTAATTAAAGTCAAAGAAGCCTTCCCCCTTCGGGTGAATTAATTACAGGCATAATTATCTGTCTGGAATTTTTGTGCCTCTTCTTATTGCCCATTTGTTGTTTCATAAATACACTGAGTTGCAAGTTTGTTAAGGAATACCTTGTACCTGCACTCTTCAGGAACACCATATTGTAGGTATGCAAATTATAGCCTGTAGCCCTTCTGTCGCTGCACATTTTATCAGCCCTCCTCTACCCCATCCACCAGTGGAAAGGGACCATTATAGAATCACCTCTGACTAGACATTATTTAGGTGGTGGATTGTTAAATACCTCAGTGTCATTGCTGGGTGCAAAGTAATCAACCAAAGATATCCAAACAAAAGGGGTCCTGTCGTCACTGCCCACTAATGAAGGGATAGAGGATCACTAACAGAAACTGTACATGGAAAAAGATTAGCTACCGTCTCTAACTGTACATCCACAATGCATACTAATAAGGTAGGTGTGTCTAAGACACTAGTGTTTTAAAATCTCAGCAACTCTGCTGTGTTTATACATGTATATACTGGTACCAACACAAGACCCTGAAAATGATTCACCACCCAAACAATTTCTTGTCAGTGATGGTTTCTTTCCACTGATGGATGGAGTAGAGGATGATTGATAAACTGTGCAGCAACAGATGGACTACAGTCAGTAATTGTAAACCTACAAAGTGAATGTATATTGTTCATGTATCTAAAAAAATGACCAAAAGTATGAGAGAGAACACTTCTGTACATTTTGAAGCATAAATAAAATGTGGCCTGTGCCAAAGTCCACATTTTTTATTTTATGAAAAATTGAAATTATATGTAACGTGACAGAGCTGACCAGACACTCGCGGATAAACAGGCTGACACTATGCACTAAAACTTACAGAAAATATTTAAGTTTGTTCTCTGTAGAAGATGTGTTCATGTATTTTCACTTAAAAAATCAACAAAACATGTCATTTGACCCAGGGGTGGTCAAACGTTTGCATACAACTGTATAAGGTATCCTTTTTGCTTCTTCTCTTCCTTTTTCTTGTCATTGACCACAATTCAGTTCAGCGTGGAGAAATCAACTGAGCCTATCCAGCCTCAGACCCTGCTGAAGTTCCCCAAAATCTACAAGCCTAAGCCGTCCGTCACATCACCTGAGGTCATCAACTACAGCGACAATACAAACACGTCTGAGAAACCTGTGGCTGAGCCTGACAGCTGTAATCAAGAAACAGAAGGAGATGAGGAGGTCTTTGCTCTCCCGCGACAAGGTAAAAACACCTCCAACAACAATGAAGCCAAATAAGCAACACCAGGAGCCATGCTATCCCTTTTTGTGGCTGGTTGTTCAGACTAAGGCTAATTTTGGAGTAAATTGCAGTGCCAGTTGTGAATCACCATTGTTCTAATTCTGTCTAGCAACAAGTTTAACCTGGGACTGGGAACTGGGAACTTCATTCTCACAGGCTCATTGTTTGAAGGAAAGTACTTTATATAACAATCCTGGATATATTATTCATATTTGTGCCAAAACAAACATTTTCACACATTTCAGACACCTTCTACATTTTTTTAAAGCACAATTAAAACAAGAGTTTATACTTTCCACTTTCTCTGGCGAATTTTTACATTTTGTTGAGCAGGTGTGACCCCAAGCATATTGCTTATTCAATTGTTTCTTGATTGACAACCCTAGTGTTTAGCTTAACAGTCCAACTTAGTTTCAAGTAACAGCTGCATCAAATTTACCCAAACCTAAATTTACATGAGTCTGAAGAAGACACATATAGTATGAACTAAGGAATATATGGATATCTGAACCCATACTAAACAAACTAAGACTGCAATTTTGTTTTATAACCAGCTCAGTAGATAGCTAGCAGGCTAACAGGCATGTGCATGGCCTTAACTGGTCATTAATCTTTATACAAGTTAATTTATGCAAATCTGAAATTGTGAGGATTCTAATGATTGACATTATGCCTCCTTTTGCATTCATACACACAGTGCAGGATGTCAGCTAGTGGTAACCATTAGCATTCACTTTAGCTATTTATATCTCTGACCCAAGGTAAGGACTAACCTTTCTGAATGAAACTGTATCTCATGTATGTTGGTGACGTGTTCATTGGCCATGATGGGACACCTGACTGGCTGCTCTTGTCCCAGAGGGCATAGAATGTGGTAGAATTACATTGTCAATCAGAACATGCCTCCGAGCTAAGTGGATAGGTGTGTGTGTCAGACAGAGAGTGAGAGATACTTGAACACGCTCCTATGAATTCAAATTAAGCTTAAGAGTGTCGCAAAAACAAGAAAGAAAATTATACCAACACTTTACTTAGAATTCAATTGACATTAAGTGACCAAGACCACAAACACAATCATGCACTGTTAAGAATTTCTGTAATTTCTACAATAATATACTGTGTTCAAGCCAGTATGATACTATAAATGTGTTTTACAGTTTTATGCAGCATCCCATGTTGAATTTTGGGAAAACATTTGCAAATAAAGCAAACAAAGACCTTATTAAATGGCTACTGTAACATTATTGTAACAATATTGTATGCAAAATTTAAACATAGAAAGTTATACAATTAGTTAGCATCAGCCTAGCTTGCTAATGCTGGCTAGCTGCCTAAAAGCATGCTAGCTTACCTAGAACAGCTTGTAACAACATAAGCAAGAGATCTTTTTTTGTCATACATGGCATTATAGAGCAGAATTTAATGTAGAAACACTCACTTTGCGAGTATCCTTTTTCTTTGTAAGTATCTGATTAGCATAGCTACAATATTTTTAGCTATTTATAATTTCAGCTAGCTATGGGATTCGGTCTGTTGGATTTGCAGTGTCATGTTAGCACCAAGCACACTGAGTTTAATACTATACACCTCTAGCTTAAACTAAGGCACAAATTACATAAAAATAGAATAAATAGATTCAAAAATAAGAAAGAATAATAAAGAGCCAATGTAAAAGAAGCTAAACATATCTGTGCATGCACAGGGCTGAGGAGACATATAAGAACTACTATATACAGAATATTACAGAATAATATAAGCATTTCTAAAAAAAAAAAAAAAACACCTGTACTGTTGTGAAAATAAGCATTATGTTACAGAGGAATTATTTTAATACAGTAAGGGTGGTTTGTTGGTTTCACTTTAAGTTTAAAGTGTGAGGTGTCCACTGTGCTAATGAGAGCCAGATGTCTGGGGAAAATGCCGTTAGGTCTGCTGTGCTGCCTTTGATGGCCCTGAATCTTCTACCAGAGGGGAGTGGCTGGAAGAGGTGATGTCCAGGATGAGAGGTCAGCTGTAATTTTGCCAGTGTGCTTTATCATCCTGCTGTTGTAAATGTCCTGAAGTGTTGGCAGATTACATCTGATGATCCTCTCCGCTGTCCTGATTATGCACTGGAGTTTGGCTCATTCTTGTGAGATGGAGGAACCAAACCAGATGGTTATGGATGATGTGAGGTTAAACTCGATGATCGCTGTGTAGAACCAGATCATCATGTGCTGCGGCAGATCAAATTTCTTCAGCCCTCTCAGGAAGAAGATTCTCTGCTGTGCTCTCTTGGCTACAGAGACCGTGTTCTTCTCCCACTTCAGGTCCCTGGATATGTGGTGCCCAGAAACTTGAGTGACTCCACAGTGGAGACCACAGAGTCACTGATGTTGGTGGGGAGGGGGATGGAGAGGGGGGATGTGTCTGAAGTCCACCACCATCTCTACAGTCTTTTGTGTGTTGAGTAGCAGGTGGCTGTTGCTGTGCCAGAACACCAGTTGCTTGACTTCCTTTCTGTAGGCAGACTCATCACTGTTGGCTATGAGGCCTACCACAGTGGGAAGGTGAGGATCTTCACAGCTGGTTCCTTGGCGATGCAGTTGTTGGTATAGAGACTGAAGAGAAGGGGTGAGAGCTTGCAATTTTAAGTAACTCAGGGGTTCTTACGTGTGTTTTCTAAATCACACCTGCTGTCTCCTGTGCGTCAACAAATCCACAATCCAACTGGCAAATGGGATCTGGCACAGACAGCCAGGACAGTTTGACTTGCAGCAGCTCTGGCACTATGGTATTGAAAGCTGAGCTGAAGTCCAACAGAACTCTAACGTAGCTTCCAGGACTGTTGAGATGCTGTTGCATGAAGTGCAGGGCCAAGCTGACTGCATCATCAACAGACCTGTTAGCTCTGTAAACTAACTGCAGTGGAATCAGCTGTGGGTTTGTAATGGTCTTCAGGCGGGTTAAGACCAGGCGTTCAAAGGCCTCCATGACTTTGAACGTTAGGGCTACTGGCCTGTAGTCATTAAGTCTAGTAATGTTCTTTTTTGGGGGGTCCAGAATAATGGTTAAGGTTTTGAAAAATGTGGGAACAGAGCAAAGTTCCAGATTCTGATCCTGGAGTACCTCTGCCCTGGACATTTTACTGCTTTCTCTGTTCCAGCACACCCGATCCAACTCATCACCTGATTAACTACCCTTTCCTTTGATTGAGTGTGATGGAGTGGAGAAAAACACTATGGCTAACTATGGCACTTGTTTAGAAAGCATAAGAATTACTGCCCTAGATCATGTGTTCTGAATATGATTGGGCAATATGCAAAAGTTTGGGCACCCCTTGCCAAATGACATATTATGTTGAAAAGACAAACAACCTCTGCTGCAAACTTTTTAAACACATTTGTCTGCAAATGTTAATGCAGTGTTACTTTAAATTTGATTAAGTACAAAATTAGAAAAAAAAAATTAAATAGTCACTGTGGCATTTCCATGATAAAGTACATCACAAATCACTTTTGGATACTGCATTTCAGAACACTAAACAACTGCATGTTTAATAAAAAAGACTTATTATAGAATTACAGTGAGCCTGTAAACAACAACAACCCATGTATAGTAACTGCATAAACTGCATAATAACATGTAGCCGACTAGACGTCAGTCCATTTTTCCAGTATCTTATTTCATTAAATTATTTTTAACATTTTTTTTACCAAATTATTTGATATTCCTCCTTCCAAATGTTGTCATTGTTTTGCATTTTGTTCATTCTAACATGTTAGAAAAACTAAATATCGTGATCATGTATTGTGAAAAATGTCTTTGTGATGTTAAATATTTTAATTATAAATCATGTTTAAAAGTATCGTAAATGTTGGTTTTCTACAAACATTTTATGATATAATATATTTATTACTTTTTATTACTTTTAAAAAATAAAATTATCATTTTATATAATAATAAATCATTTTTATATAATAAAAATATGCTGAATTTTTGCAGATTCTGCTGATGAGACACCCTGTGCAGTTGAGCAGTCGAGCGGCATGACAACCAGCAGCTCTGTCCTGCACCCAAAACTGCACTTTTCTCTCCGCCTGCACAGCCAGAACAGAGAGCTGCACATCACTATTATAGAAGGTAACAAACACACACACATTCACACAGACACACACACACACACCTGCTCAGAAAATAGATCACCATTACAGAGAGTAACACATGCCCATCACACCCACTTCACTCAGGCAGAGATTCACCCATGCGTTGTAAACCTTTAGACAGCAATCTGCACTCACTTTCTGTATGTGCACTTGCATACAGATATACCTTTTAGGGCTGTACTTTTCTTGACCTCATAATGATTTCATTAAATTACAGTTCTTTGGTAAATGACTCAATACATAATGAAATCTCAGACTTCAATATGATTCAATTAAATTTAATTACTTTATTTAATTATTCTATTACAGTTCAGATTCCTTTTTAAAGTACACCGAATACAAATATGACTGGAATATTTACACAGTAGTGGAACATAGACGATAAAAACATAATACCATGCTTCTTTTATAGATTTTTACATTTTATGTTCAAGAATTTTTATTTTACCCCAAAAAGTCACTGCATACTTTACAGAATGTTTTAAGTGATTACTAGGGCAGAAATTCTGAAGTTGTCTTTGATTCCAATTCTTAGTGATAGGAATCAACAGAATGTAGCACAATAATGCTAGTGGCAAATCACTTAAAAGCAGCAAATCCATCCCTTGAGGTTGCATGGCTGCTACTGCACAGATGCAGCACAGCATGAAAAGCAAAGCTTTTCTGAGACTTTTGTTTCCTTTTTGTAAAGTAAAATACAGCCGGTCTATTGATGTAGGTGTTGAGAGAGGATGCACTTTTCAGACATGTTTTGTAGACCCCCTGTACTTTTTCATGCCAGCACCCACATGTAGAGGTAATGTTTGTCCCAAGACTTAACAAACATTTTATGACATCAAAGTTTTCTTATAAAGCTTTCTGCCAACTTTTGTATGGATATATACAGTTTAAAAACAGTACTCAATATACTGCTATATCAACACACGCACTAGCATACCATGATACAAGATTTAAATATGCCTGTGCCCACACAATTTACTCACTTAGTAAGATTTTGGAATAATAATAATAATAATAAAATATAAAAGTTTTAAAAATATTACAATAATTACACCTTTGTTCTATAGGTAAATGGGATATATTTAGCTCTTACTTTCAGTATGAACACCTTAATACATTTCATTAACAATTTTTGGACATATCTTTCAAGAGTGCTTTGTGTGTTTTGAATGCTTCTAGTTGAATGTAGCTCACAGAAAAAGCAAAAAATAGTTCTAAAGCTTCTGATCTGAAACATGCTTCCAAAAAACCAAAATACACCCTGATCTAGCTTACTCACAACATACTCTTCCCCTCACTGTGTCCCAAGAGTGGGTAATGATTCAGTTTGAAAAGCACTGCAGAGAAGATTCATGAAGCCAGAGCTGCCTTGTAATAATATTTCCAGGGTTTTGGTGAGAGGGAGGGGGGCAGGCAACTAAACGCGAGTCCCTTTCACACCAGTAGAAAATTGTGACCATTTCACCAAATGTTAGTAATTATTTTTCCCCCTTCATGATTACATCAAACTTGTGGCTGTTTTTGTGATACTGGCTATTCAGAGCCTAAACATGCATTTGATCTGATGAGCTGATTTTAGGAAAAAACAGTTTGGTTTTGGGTCAGTTCAGCTGGGACTTGCACAGTCTGCTGTTGTTCTTTATATAATGACCACTGGCTGTGGGCAGACTTGAATGCCTCTATGTAGAACCAAGTCCAAAGCTTTGAAGTAGACTCTTGATTCCCAGATGCTTAGAATCAGTGAAACGATTCTTTCTGGTATCGACACCCAGCCCTAGTAATTGATTACAAGATTCTAAAATCTAGATCAATTCCATGCATTGATGCTCCCTGTACGAAAAAAATATTGCATGCATCATTTTCCAGTTGCCTTGATGACAGTGCCAATCCTGTCAGGTAAGTATAACACCAGCTTCTTGAGATTGCTGAGTTCTTGTCCATTCTAGCCAACTCTTACGCAAATTTTGTGCTTTACGTGCAAACAGCACACAACATTTAGATTCCCACATTACAGGATAGTGTCTGTATGGGACTGGGTCAACAAACATGATGGAACACTGACTAGCAATATCAGCAGACCTCAATCCCAATTTGGAACAGCAGGTGAAATGCTGAATTAGACACACATGAAGTGTGACTTAGATTTGCATCCAGTTTCTGGAAAAGTGGGCTAGATAATAATGGATAATCTGAAGAGATAATCTTATTTATCAGGACTGATGCTGTTGCTAAAGCAAGGAGACACATAACCAGGTATTAGAAAAGAAATTATGCATGTGACTATTTTTTGTCTTGTGAGCTTACATTTACACCACTAACACTTGCTGACACCCACACCTATACACTGTAGACTTGCACATGTCTACATACACCTTCACATGCCTGTAAACTCACCTACATCTGCACACATCTAGAAACATTACACTTTTCAAATGGACTAATAGGAGAATGTGAATGCTAGCATTTACTTCAGCTCTGAAGTGAGAATGTTTTCCCTACAGACACTGATGAAAAGGTCACAGACAGAAAGACATGCACACAAACACTTGAATGGTTGCTGTGGTCACGGACCTGAACAGAGGTTAAGACATAATTATGGGATGCCGGCCGCATGCTCATTAACTGCTCTTCGGTTGTTTCCTGTTGCTGGGGGCAAGAGCACTGTTTTCTGTTCTAATGATGCCAGTAGAAAAGACCTCTTTCTGCAAATGTATGTAGTTTGCTATAATTGAAGCACATTGTGGTGTGGGGTGGCAGAACTCTGCTTAAATTAATTTAACCTACAGCAGTGCTTTTTAGTGGCTCTGTTTGGCCAGTTCAGGTAAAAATGTATTTACCAGATTTGAGGCATGGCCAGATGGCTAGACTACAACCAGGGGAACAGCTCAGTGGTCAGAGGGCTGGTATCTTCTCTGGTAATGGATGATTCAGCCTCCAATGCTGCTGAGGGAATTAAGATGCTATTTTCCCCCACAGTCCTGAAACAAAGTGCTTGTTATCTGTAGTTTGCTTCTGTAGTTTTGCACTGGACCTATAGGGCTAATGTAGCTAACAAGTAATGGACACTTATACCCCTGTATGCCTAAATCACCACACACTGGCCTCAAATTTAAATACTGAAACATATTTATGTGTTATGCTTACAGTTTACTGTACAGCACTGGTGTAGTACAGGTTTGTGTTGCAATTACTGTAAGTTGGAGATCTATAAGCTCACATAAACAGCTTCTCTGTTCATGTTGAGTTGTTGAGTAATTTCAAATAGACATATGTCTGTGGTTTTGTGCACACACTGTTATCTATAAAATTGACAAAAAGTATGGACACAATTTAGGCTTCAAGTAGATTACTACTACAGTTTTTAGCTGTGTAACATTACATTTTTATGGATCTATAGATAGTTTTAGTAGAGGAGAAAAAATCAATACAGTACTCCATTACTTGTTAGCTATATTAGACTTACACAAAATAAAAATTAACTTTATCAGACCAGGGGTGCAAATTTGGTCTGACAAGTTTGGGGAACCAATATTGGGAGGCTATTGCTGACATAAAGCAATTTAAACACAAAACATGGTGAACAAGGTACACCTGCTAGAGTTATCCACTGCAGGGGAGAACCTGACATCAGTGATTATAACAAAATAAAATAACAACTGTCTGTGTTTAACCTCAATTTGAGTTTTGTTGGAAATATTTACAGACATACAACAGCTTCGCAGTTTCGCAACAGCATTCTGAACTAAGTTATATGTCTACTTTATAAGCTGAATAAAGACAAAAGGCAGAAAAAAAGTCCTCAAATGAGGCACCTAAATGGTCACAGACGTTTTCTGACAAACCAATGCCCCAAATCTGGACATTTTGCAGTGTAAATGGAGAATAATCATGTAATATTGATCAAAATAAAAGGTAGTTAGTTTTTCTTTTAGCTGTTTAGCTAAGTTCTGCCAGAGACTGTTTTTTTCTGTCTTCATTCAAGCAGCCACTTTTTTAGCGTAAAGTGACAACGCAGTATCATTACTGTGGGTATAAGTCACTCTCAAAAACATGTAATCAATAATATAGGCTCTCAAAAACATGTAATCAATAATATAGGCTATGTGCTTTTGTGACACCTAGAGACCCCCTGCACCCCCCAATTTTATCTTGCATAATTTCAAAAAGATGGGTGGTTTTATGCCAGTGTATCAGACAAATATATATGTTTTCTGACTACGTACACTTGGGGTAAGTGAGATATTGTGTACATCTGAGTTTTTACTGATTTTTACATTTTGCCAACATGCTTTAAAATCTGAAAGCCGAAAATGAATGGGCCAATCAGCTCCAGAACCATAACGTTAGGAAGCAACATTCGGACAGTCCTGTGCTCTGAGTGCAGTTTAGCTCCTTCTGCCTGCAGCACTGCTAACTGCAGATGGGTTATTGAGTTCAGAGAGGCATATCGGCACTGCTCTTAATCCTGTTCTGTGGGTGCAATTGAAAAATGCACCAGTTGCCGTACGGTATCTGTGTGGCCTTCAATACATCAATAGTGCAAAAGTATGTGGAAGCTTGCAGTGCTTTTTTTTCCAATATAACCAGATGTAATATCTCAATTGTTGGATCATATTAAAAATGTATCATGTTAAATGTATCTTATTGCAATAGTTGTGGAGGAGGTGAAGGTTTTGCTGATTGCCATGTCATTTGGTATTTTGATTGCATACACGCTTAAAAGCCTTTCAAATGTTCATAAAAGCCTTTCAAAGCCTTTGAAAGGCTTTTAAGCATGTATGCAATCAAAATACCAAATGTCATCTCTTAAGTGTGTAAGAGATTCACATAAAGGCTAGAATAACTGCAGTCATCAGTATGCATCATTAGGAGTGATTTGAGTTAATCAGAGTCGAGTCAATACCTTGAGTCATCTTATCTACATAAAGCAGAAAATCAGCTCTTTCATCTGAAAGGAGGAAAATACAAGAGGGAAGAGACTGGGTAAATGCAGTAAGAAGGCTTAGTTGAGCTTCTTAGAATCTAATTCCTCCTTTCTTCTTTTTCTTCTTCTTCATCCCTTTCTTTCATTCCCTCTTTCTCTCTGTAGCGGAGCACATTACCATAGAGGCCGGCTGCGAGGGGTACGTGTCAGGCTGTGTGAGTGTATCCGGAGAGCAGAAGCATTCTCAGACGGCAGTGCGCAAGCTAGCAGCACGGGTCCAGTGGGGCGAGGCCTTGGTGTTTGTCCTGCCCAACAACTGTAGTAAAGAGGGTACAGATGGCATGGAGGGAGAGGTGGCGCTGACCTTACACAGCTGTGACCGCTTCTCTCGGAATGCTACTCTTGGCACTGTGAGGTTCAAACTGGCCGACGTGGGCATGATGTCAGATGCTGACTGCTGGGTCGACTTGCAACCACCCAAACAGGTGAGGAATATTACCTTACATACCTTACACAGATGAACATTAGAAAAAATGATCTAATACATAAATCTGAACATATGTGAGAGATATTACCTTAAACACCTTATACAGGTGAACACATATCAAAGAGATTACTCTAATAGAGCGGTCTTCAATTCTGGTCCTGTAGTATCACTACCCTGCATGTTTTTTTCTGTTCCAACACACCCATCGCACCTTATCAGCGAACTGTAAATTATTTCTTTAGTTGTTACACATGTTGGAAATGGGGGTGAAATGTGCAGGGCAATGGTATTTAAGGACCAGGACTGAGAAGATGAACATAAGTGAGAGATATTACAAGAATATCTTATTTTGTTATTAAGAACAAAAATGATACGAAAATTAAAATAATTAATTAATTAATTAAAAATATGATGACAGCGCATCTATGTGACAGAAAAAACTGGGAGTGAAAAGATAGTCTGTAGATCTGTCCAAAGGAGCCTCATATTCAGGAACCACCAGGGCAGGCACAATCACAGGACAGGCACAAAGTAAATCTCCAACTATCTACCAATTTAGGAAATGTCTGCTGACTTATCTTCTCATAACATACAGCGCACCCCTAAAATACAGCCAGTACAAAGTGATGCATGCAAACCCATATATGTTTATCGATGCAGCCTTTGGTACGCACAGCAACCAGTGCAGCTCGCTCACAGTTTAGTTTTAATCTGTTTTTGTTTGTTTGTTTTTTTTGCCACCTACCGAAAGTGGAGGTTTTAGTGGGGCATGATTGGTTTGTGGGCCAGCATAGGCTAAAGTATGCATTACATTAATTTAAAGAGCATAGACAGGCACAAACAGGTAAGATATACTCCTCTAAAGATCTTAAACAGATGAATACATGTGACAACAGACATTACTGTCTACAGGTACAGGTACTATATATATATATATATAAATATATATATATATATATATATACCCATGTTCACCTATATATATATATATATATATATATATATATATATATATATATAGGTGAACATGGGTGAGTGATATTACCATAAACACCTCATACAGGTGAACACAGATGAGAGATATTACTCTTAACAAAGGTGTATTATGTGTATTGAGTGATATTACTGTACACAACATGAGACCTGGACAGGAAGATCGTTACAGGTTAGTTAAGTGTGTCTGAGTCATGCTTCTAGGGGAGTGTGTTTGTGCGTGTGACCTTTTCAGATTTTAGAGGAAGGGTAGGAGTCCTCTAAAGCATGAATAAGTCATTTGGTGCGTCATGCTGAAATTCTGGGGCGGAATCTCAATAATGCAACACTCTCTCTCTCTCTCTCTCACACACACACACACACACACATACGCAAACACAGTTAATCTTGTTGCGCTTTCACAAATGCTAACCATGTAATCCGCAATGGTGTCGGTTCATAATGCTAATTTTAGAATTATGTATGTATTTGACTTCAGCTATGACAAATTCCTCAGTGCTATCTTCTTCTTACTTGCCAGTCATAGGAGTCATATATCATAGGAATACAGGAAAGGTGGTTATTGTAGTCCATTATAGCCTCTTTCTATGGGACTAGTTGACTAATAAATCTACTAGTCATGCAGTGCGCAGCAGTCAACTAGTTGAGGACAGTGGCTGAAATACAGGGGGTGGTAAGAGCAGAAAACAGAAACACAAAGCCAAAAGTACATCATTAATGTGCAAATGCTACATGAAATGATACCAATTCCACTGCAAGGTGTACAAGATTGCACTGAAAAATAGGCTTGTAAGCCAGACTGGACAAGTTTTGAGAACTGCAATAGGAAAGGGCCATTTGACTGACATGCAAAACATTCAATCACAGACCATTTTGCATGTCAGTCAAATGGCCCTTTAAGAGGCAACTAACAAACTTGGAATACCGGTCGGCAAATGCACTAGGATATCTTGTATATCATCTTGAATATCATGAATGTTTCCTAGTTCAGCTATTAGGCCTTGCTTTGAAAGACTTATTGATGAGTAGAGATGCAACTGCTTCCTTCTACTATTTAGATTGATAAACATCATTTGTTTCCAATCAGACATTGACCAGAACCAGTTTAAATTCACAGTGAGAGGTGCGTTTATGAGAGCTGTGGTGATTTCATTGTGCAGTTTGCATCAGACAATCTGTGTACATCTGTGGCCAGAGTACCTAAGGCTGAAACTGAAATACATCTCACACCTGAAAAGGCCACTATTAGTAAGCTACTAATAAAATACATTTCACAGACAATTTCTTTAATGTTGTAATAACGACTAGCCAACTACGTTTTTGAATGGCCATTCAACTACTACAAATTAGTAGCAACCCCTAGTTGGCTCTCTATGTGTGAAATGTTGTGACTCTTTGTTGAGCTGCTAGTGAGCAATGATGGGAGGAAGGGGTGAGAACCATCCCACTGTCAAGACAATTTACACCTCTCCACTATGACAGTCGTGCTGAGATAAAATTAACAGCACAACTGCAACTTTCTTGATGTGTGAAATCGCCACAATAAAAAGTAGCGTTTATAAACAATAAAAACACTTATGAATTTAAAAGTATTGCTTGGCCACCAATGAAGAAGAAAATACAGTTCTGGCAAATTGTACTCATTTCAATCTAAATATATTCTTTCACAAGCATAGTTCAACCAAGAGACCATCTCTAAAACAAGCAGAAATTAGAGGTTAAAATGTACTATATAAATAATCTTCCTCCAACACACTCCTGATGTCTGTAGTTGGCTTTAGATGAATAAGTCTCAGTATCAGTTTTCTCCTATACATATAGCCACACACACACACACACAAATGCTTCCAAATGCTTCCGTCTGATGTGCTTGTCGGGCAGGAGATCTCTATCTGCGTCATCACATATCCCAGAGGAGCTGCAGCTCCAGCGTGTACACAGGGAGAGAGAGAGAGAGACCTGCCAGGAATTTCTAATGACTGTAGTATTTCAAACACACCCTTAAAAAAGAACATTTTTTAAATTATTTTAATCCACATAGTGTTTTAATAGCAGCTTCTCTTTAAATAATGTGTACTTTAGCTTTGTTTTACATTATAGACTACATTCACTTTTTTGCTAAATTATATTTAGACATGAAAAACAAAGGCTCACTGAACTACATTTAATTTAATTGAGACAGTAAGGAGGAGAGGTAGACAGAGAGCAAGAATGAGGGCCTGATATACTGAACATTTCATGCTAGTTTCAGATGCAAATCTGATGCATTCTGCCTGCACCTAAACATGCAGTTTATGGGCAACATGCATGAAAAAATACAGAAAGCGTTTCTCTCCTTCATGCATATGCATTTGAGGGAGGGTTATGCAAAATGTTGAAGGATCACATAGAAAATGGGCAGAGCTATGAAAAGCAACTGATTACATATTTACTAAAATTTGACTAGCAGCTGGTTTTGCACAAAATTTTCTTTTTAAAATCAGGTGCACATTAGCATTTAGGTTCTCAAGAGGATGAGGCTGAAGTTGGCTTCCTATTCGCCAGCTTCTTGTTCAAATTTTCTTTTTACACCTTATATAGAGGCAGCATTTTGGACTCACATGTTGCCATAGTTGTAGAACTGTGATGGAATCATTTTCTAGTAGTCATGGAACTCATCTTAAAATGTTATAGCATCACCTGCATTAGTGGAGTCTCTGTGACAGGCAAAACGAAACCTCCAAATGTATGCAAGCTTGTAAGCTCGTGAAGGCGCTTTCAGCTTTGTGCAGCCCTTGAGAATTTTGTTTCACAAGAAGTATGCTAAGGCCATTGGGTATGTGTCATTTAAATGATATGTAAATGAGACACTTGATCTCATGCACTGAAGCCGATACATGATCTCTGTTCCACATCGTCTTATGAATCACACACACACATACACACACACACTCACTATCTATACCGCTTATCCTCCTGGGTCGCAGGGGGTGCTGGAGCCTATCCCAGGAGTCATCGGGCAAAAGGCTGGAAACACACTGAACAGGTCACCAGTCCATCACAGGGCAGACATACAGACATATACATTCACACACACGTTTACATCTAGGGGTAATTTAGCATGCCCAATTCGCCTGACCCCATGTCTTAGGAAACCAGAGCACCTGGGGGAAACCCACACAGACATGGCCAGAAAACCCAAACTCCAAACAGAAAGGACAATAGTCGCCCAGCCGGGGAATCAAACCCAGGCCCTTGTAAGTCTGATGAATAAGGCGATAAATATTGCATTCGCATCAAGGCACATTTTGCACTGCCCTTGTACTTGTACTCACATGTACATCTAGCCCTGAAACAGAAAAAGAAAGAGAGAGAGAGGGAGGGGAGAAGCGAGTGGGGTGAATGGTTCACTGAAGGGGGTTTGAAGGTGCAGACTGAGTATATGTGCGTATGATGCCATGTATGACGCAGTTCACACTGGGCTGTATGAGCACCACTCTAAAAGATTTATTTGTTCATACAGCAAGACACTTCTACACACTCACGCTTACAGACGCTTCAACAGATGGGAAAGTGGAGGCAGGAGTCATATACAGGCAGACACTCATACAAACACACAGGCTTATACAGTAATATTGAGCTGGCTCTTTTTCAACCCATGGTGTGAGATGATTCATATTTCCTCACTGTCAACAATATCACCAGGAGGTGGTTTATGGATGCACAAAAATAGTCCTTGAGAGACAGAACAAGAGAGAGAGAGACAGAAATAAAAGGAATTGATTATCGGATCGCACTCGTCATTTTTATGAGCTCGGGTGCTAAGGAGGGGGTGCCGCAAGCTGTCACTTTTATATCCGTCCACCCACACGTGGGCTGTAAAACAGGATTATTCCAGAATGATTGTTAATGTGGTAGCATGATCATGATTATGCTAATGTGACCCCACTGGTATGAATGAGATTCATTCTAATTCACCAGGCCCATTAGCATTCGTATTATGCCGCTGATGTCTGCCTACCAGGATCATACCAGGATCCTGTAATGTAATAAACAGATATGTCTAACAAAATCAGATCCAAGTCACTTTTATGTATGATCCTATTTTGGAAATACACTGTATGTCCAAAAGTGTTACCCTTTCTAAATAGTATATAGGCAGTCCCAAAGTTTTATTACACACTCCCATAACATACGAATAGCTCAGCCTATTTGCGCTAAAGTCCCTGTAATTACTGAATAATAACTGTTAGCATGTAACAAACCTGGGAAAGGTGCACCCACTGCTAACACAGGCATACACCAGGCCCTATTTTTGTGCACATGCAGTTTAATGTTATAATGCTGGTGTATTGCTATTTTGCTTGGGTGGAAATACATTTCTGCCCATAAACACCCATTTACAATTTTGATGACAAGAAACAATAGTACCTGCTGACATGGGCGGAGTGGCATAACAGGGGGAGAGGCATTAAAAACCTGCTACTGCAGTGCTATTTTCTAACCCATTTGGCATTTGGTCTATTCACAGTAAGCAATGATTTGGCTCACTTGCAGATGTGAACTATGAAGTCAGAAAGATCAGATCTGAGAAAAATTCTAAACTGAGCAGCAGGGCTTGTAATGTGAGCCTAACTATAAAGTACAAATAGTGTTCGCAATCATTTGTCTTAGATTAGGATTATATGGGGTAATGGAACCCCAGAGACAGAGCCGATGAAATGCTGCTTGAAAATCAGAAGCTATTCACCCTGTGACAAAAAATAGAACTTGTCAGAGCTCAATATCACTAAATGTCTTTGGAATTACTTGAATCGTGAAAATGAGATAATGCATGGAAAAAATATCTCTGCAGATTTTTTTTTTGAAAACATGAAAGCGAGTTTCCCAAAAAGAATGGAAGCTGTAGTAAAGGCAAAGGATGGACACACTAAATTCTGAAACATTTGATATTATATTTATTTGTTGAGGTTTCTGTGCTATTTTCTGTTAAATAGTTTTTTTTTCCTGAAGCTGAAAAATGAATAACTTGTACTTAAAGGCTGTTTTGGCTAGAAATTAAATGAACAAATGGAGGTCACTAATTTTTGCACAATACTGCAGGTTTCAGCAAATATCAAGAACTAATGGACATTTATATATGAGGAGTTACATACTTTGCATATAAGATTAACTTTTCAGAATATTAAGATAAAAAAGTACAGAATCAATCATAGTTATGACTATTGTTTTGCGTATTTGATTTAATCTTTTGAAAATACAGCTCTTTTTGTATCCATACTGTCAATTTTATATGGTCATGTATCAGAGCAGTTGACCAAAGTGGTTCAGTGCTTTCAGGTGCATTGACTGTATTGTCCTAAAGGGGCTCAACCAGTCAGCATCTTTGCATCCTTTCAACACATTTTTGACTATTTTTCTGGTCGCTTTAATTCTTTTTTTTTTTTTTAACTCAAAAACCTCAACAGTAAAAATTAGTTTGACGTAATTGTCTAAATACTTAATGAGAACACTTTTATGTTTATAAACATACAGCTGGCACTATATATGTTACTATATATTAATCAATACATCCTCCATTTTACAAAGAAGCTGGTCGGTTTTACGCCTCTAGACATTGCTGATTTAATCTATTGTTCTTGTGAATTCTTCAGTTTCCAGAGTTAATTGGCAATATTCTCTCTTTTCCACAGCTGGAAGTGACATCATCAGCTGGGGAGCTGTTGCTGTCACTGAGCTACTTACCGGCAGCTAACAGGCTGGGGGTGGTAGTGATGAAGGCACGAGGACTGCAGTCTGATAAACTCAAAGACAACATAGGTATCACCAATCACTAATGTAAATAAGGGCCTCAAGATACATAATGAGCAAAAGTGAATGATTTAGGCCACTAAAAACTAAAAAATTAAACATAATATGAAGCATAAAATGCCCAACAGTTGTTCTGTTTGGAGCTGTAATTCTTTTTCAGGCCTTCTTCATACAAAGGCCCAATCCCATTTCTTATTTTTACCCCTACCCCTTGTTTTTGAGGGTCACCTTGCCCCTCGGGAACTGAGTCACCACGGGTAGTAGCTGAAATCTTCCCCTACAAAATAGAACAACCCTTGAATAAAAAAAAAATATTACTTCATTAACAGGCTACTAGCCATGTTCTGTAGGTGACCCTGCCAGTCTGCAGTGATAGCAGAGGAGCAGTAAAGTTCTGCAACCTCGCTGCTGGGCTTAAGGTAAATTTAGGGCATCATATGCTTTCAAAGAGGGGGGATGTGAAAATGATTCATTATCACCCACCCCTAATTCTTTGGTAATATAAAGCTGAAGTCATTTTTTTTTTTTTGCCAGCTTCTCATTCAAATGTTCCCGTTCCACCTTAAATGGAGCAGCAGTAACATTCTGGCATTTCAGGCGTCAGTACTGCTGGACTATTTAAGGTGGAACGGGAAATTTAGCTAGCTAGCTAATGAGACGTTTCTTTCGTTTCTCTCGTGTAGGCATCTTGCTGTTTTTTCTTTTTTTCCTATAACACTCCACCTGGAGTGTAACTCTGAAAAACCTTCGTTTGAAGTAGCCCTAACACTTCGCCCTACCCCTCTCTCTCAACAAAAATTGGGACACCCTATCCCTAGAGGTGAGTGCACCAAACGGAGGGCTAAGGGCTAAGTGGTAGGGGCAAGGGGTGAAATGGGATTGGGCTAAAGAGTCCACCATCAGTTGGATGTTGTGCTAAAAGTCTCTAAAACAAATACCACTTTGTTAAACATTTTATGAAATAACCCAGAAACCTTCATTAAAGTTTTCCAATGGTTAAATAGTCAAAAGTATAATTTAAAATTATATGGAAATCTGTTAAATTAGCCCAGTATCTCTTCTCTTGGTTTATATTCTGTATCTATAGACTATATGAACACATCTAAGCATTATCCATAAGTTTATTACAATTGTGTTGTTATGTAAAGTCATTATAAAGTGCTGTTACACTAATTGTCCCTTCACTACTGTGGAGTTTTTGATGGGTTTAACTGAACTTTCACTAAACTCCTCCCTTAAATACTGTTTGTCCAATTGTGGCTTAGGAGCATTGCTCCATTTCTGATTTAACTCCCACTCCAGACTCATGGGATATCCAGTATCTGATTAAAGTACTCAATGCACAACATTGTGGCATACTGTTCTGAAAATTCTTAAAGCTTGTTATAGGTGCCCATGTCTAGTTATAGTGGCTAAGCTACAACTGGACAATAAGTATTTAGGGGATGGGATTAGCGAAGGGTCAGTGCAATACTGGAGGGACACAGCAATACTAATTTAGTATTTACCTTACTCTAACGTACCTGATACAACTTGGTAGCTATTTCAAACCCCCTTCCTGAGTTGAAGTGTTTTAGAGCAGTAACAAGGCTGTATGGTCACTGCAAACCAATTGCTTTCAGTGTGAGTTGCCCACAAACCGACAAAGTGCTGAGCTACACATCTGACTGACTTTTGAATAAAATTCCACTGGAATCAAAGTATCTCTGCATTACTAGGATAAATAATAGATTTAATACTTTATAGGCATTATATATAATGGAGTTTCTCATTTCTCAGATCTGTCAGTAAAGCTGACACTGAAACACCAGAGCACCAAGCTGAAAAAGAAGCAGACAAGACGCGTCAAGCACAAGATCAACCCGGTGTGGAATGAGATGATGATGCTTGAGCTCCCCAGGGAGCTGCTCACCAAGTCTAGCCTAGACCTAGAAGTGCTGAACCAAGCCAGCCCCGGCACATTGCTCCCTCTCGGCCGCTGCCTGCTGGGTCTCCATGCTTCCGGGACCGGCCTACAACACTGGCAACAGATGCTGGATAACCCACGCAAGCAGATCGCAATGTGGCATCCTTTGTATGCCTGAGGAATATACACGCTTAAAACACCAATAGAACTAATGTATTCCCACTGTATGTGATGAATAGTTAAATGTTTGGACAGATTTTACAACACTGCTCTATTCCTGTATATTAATCTGTGTCATTATTCAGATTTGAGCAGATTTCATCGGTTAGCAAAATATTTTGTAACTGTTCTTGCTCAAGCTAGCAGCTTATGAGCAAAGATGCCTGAAGAGTAGTCTGTGAAAGTGTTGTTTGGTTTTGATACAGATTATTATATAGTGATTAGAGCACTTTGGTATAAAATAGTACCATATTTAGCTTTGGTGTTGTGAATGTGTCAAAGGAACTCTGCGTCACTCTGAACAGGATGAGTCATTCTCATCCCATCTCACCCACAGCCAAAACAGAGAGAAAGGTGATTGGGAATGGCCTTGGATCGGCTTGGGTTGAATGAAGCATTTGGATGTTTAAAAGAATATTCCAGCTTCAGCATCTGCCCATTTGCCTCTGTTATACATGTTTCGTGTCAGCAGGTTTTCTGTTCTTTTTGACGTACAGGGTGTGTGTCAAAGAGATTGTTTGTGATATTCTTCCATTACATCAGCCTGACAGGATCCAACTGCTCATGTTGGGGTTGGATGTCATTTCAGGGACCATGACATTGTCTGATCATTTCTTAAATACTGGTCTGGCTTGGGTTGGGTTCAATTTCATGTTAGGGTTCTCACAACCTGTTTTTCTCCGTACTTTATTCTTCACTACTTTCACTATGTTAAATCTAAGTCTAAAAACATTTAATTTGTTTGGCCAATATAATTTCATGTTATATGTTCAGTGTGTTCTATGTGTAGAAATAGAATTTTAGGATTAAACAGGTCAAAGCTAACCTCTCACTCTATCATTACTGCACAGTGTGAGAACCATGCATTAGGGATCCTTTATCCACCCTAAAAACGTTTGAGGTGCTTTTCAAAATTAACTGAAGCAGAATTTAAACTTATATTGGACAGGTGATTACTTGATTGTAGCATATTGTTATATATTTTATTCATCCATGCTCTTATGACTGCTATTGTCATCACTACACGGTAACCGGCCCTTTGTATAATGATGGGCCGGTTCGGGTCAGCTATGGACAGAATTTGTTATACTCGGGTCAGTTTCAGATTCAAAACATGATAATGTGGCTTGGCTCGGGTTCAGAAAGAATTTGGTCGTAAACGTGTCGGGTTCGGATTTAAAATTTGATGCTCTGACAGATCATTTAAGCTCTTTTTGGGTTCGGTCCAAAATATCAGGACCAATTAAAGCTCTATCAACTGTATGGTACAAATGCAGCAGATACCGCTTGATTATGCCTTTAATATCTGAAACGTATGGCTGTGATTAGATGCCTCAGGTGGTCCATCCAGTGAATGATATCATAGATCTGGAAAGAGGTCAACCTGTAAAACCTCAAACAACCCAGAAGATATTCATTACAGATGTAAGATTAAAAAAGTGTCTGATGTATTTGCTTTGTGGCTCACAGCAAAATGAGACTTTTGTTTATATAGATAAAATACCCAAATTAGATCTAAAGAATCTGCACACTATATTTAGTGTTAGCTCATATTTGTGCATAACGTTTTAAACGTCTTCTCAAATGTTATTCTGAATGTGACCAGAGTATTATATCTAATGTATATCAGACACAAACATAAGTGATATGCACATATCAGTAACAACTTTTGTGACGACATACTGCAGTTATGCCTCATCAAGTAAATAACATGTCCAGCAGATGAACCAAAAGAAAGCCAGCCTTTGTTTCTGGAAATAGCTTTCATCTCTCCCTGGAGGCTTAAAAGCATTTTTCTATAAACACATTTATAACATGTTATAATGCATTCATAAGGCATTGGTTATAAATATTTATAAAAAAGAATTACACTAGATTACACTTTATAGCCATGTTTATTATTCATTATGAATTGTCAATATAATGCATTATAAATAGTGTTAATAACATGTTATAATGTCAGTGCCAAAGAAGTCAGTCCCAGCTTGGAGAGCGTAAAGTAAAGACAAATACCAAGCTAACGGTGGTGTACACTGACTTCCCCACATTGGGTAAAACACTGATGGCAGCACTAGTTTAAACTCTGACATTTGAAGCCTGTAATGTGCTTTACTGTGTATGTTTTAGTGTTTCAGTAAATCCTTCAGTAAACACTTCAACTTGAAGCCTCACTCTTAACACTGGAGGAGGCTTAGTACCGTATGCTTCATTGTACTTAGAGCAGACAAATACCACTTATGAGCTCTTATAATTTGTTATGAACCCTACTTATAATGTATTATGTTAACAATTCATAATGCATAATAAACATGGCTATAATGTATAATGCATTTTTATAAATATTTATAGCTATGTTTATAATGTCTTATGAATGCATTATAACATGTTATGAAAGTGTTTATAGATGCTTACAAAGGTGACATTCATAGAAAGTGTTACCTATGGAGCTTATCCAAAAGAGCTCAGGACACCCAGTCCCTCTAGCTCTCCTAACACACTCTAATTATTACTGGGCAGCTCAGAGGCCAGTGGACCCAAACACAAGACATGACTTATCTTTGAAAATCTGTGGACACTAAACAATGAGTTGGATATTCAAGTTGAAATATCACCCTCTCAAAAAAAAAAAGGCAGCTTTACTTTACATATATATCATCGCTGTCATATGAAAATGTTATGGCTCTATTTTATTTTTTGCTCATTTTATGACGAATGGACTGCAAAAAAATGTAAAAATCTTTTTACATTAACTCATATTCAAGGTTAAAAATGTTTTTCCTTCGCCTGTGAAGTTACTATTTTGATTATACAAAGTTTTGTTAAGACAGCAATGATATGTATGTGATTCTTAGTAATCAGAAACTTAGACACATTCATCCTGTCCTGTGCATCATATAAGCTAACTGAGCTACTTGAACTGGTTTCATCTGGCTCATAATTCCAGAGATGATGATGATGATGATGATGAGAAGAAGAAGAAGAAGAAGAAGAAGAAGAAGAAGAAGAAGAAGAAGAAGAAGAAGGTAAAGCAAGAAGAAGAACAAGAAGAAGAAACAACCCTAGTAGTAATGTTTGACCTACATAACACTGTGTCCATAGTACATAGTACAGTCACTTTTGCCTTATTGTGCTTTTCTATTGTCACCTAGAATTAATTTTAACACACTCTTTTAATAGAGCAAAGACCAGTTTATACTGCACACTGCATCATAGGCCTAGGTGTTAGCAATTTCAGTACAGCTTAAAAACACCAGATGGTCAGGTTCAGTTTTAAAATGATGAAAATTATAATGCTTCATGGTTTCCCATAGACATCTATAGCTAAATCCCAGAGCACCTCCACTATAACTACAGAAAACTCCTCATTTTTTATTATCTAAAGCATGTGAACATGAATTTGGAACTCACACATTCACTCATACATTTTGCAGTATGAGATTTCTCCAAAGGGGGACTATAGCACAAAAATCACTTATGTGTACATCATCTAAAAACAGAAGAAGCAGCCATGAACCCACACCAGCAGGAGCTCAGTCTCAACTTTCAAAACAAGAGGCGAAACAGTTTATTTGCTAATATGTTGAGTTACTCACTATGATATGTGGTTTCTTTAGAGCTTATCATTAAATCAGTTCATGCTAAAGGTATATAATCAAAAGATAATTTAGAAAGTAAGCTACAGCTTCATTTTTAGAGGTCACCAGGCCTACTGCAGCACAGATAAAAACCTTGAAATTATGAAGCGTCATTTATTGCTCCTTCATGATCTTTCATCCTAAATGTAGGTCTACAGCTACACACTTATGCTGTACCATACAGTGCACTGTGGGTTTGACTTATATTCATATGACTATTCATTAACATTCACGTTCTTGAGTAATTTCCTGGTTTACTTTCCCTCTCCATGCTGAACTATAACACACCCCAGCTGCCATGTTCCAAAATAAATTGTACCAAACTGTAATCTAATAGCCGGATACACTGATGTGCTTTTTGTGTTTTTATTATAAACTAAAAAGCAAATCTTATTTAAAACAAAGTATCTGAACTTGGTGGCAATTAATGCAATTAATGTTGTGCCAGTGTTAAACTCATAAGTGGTGAATATAAATGTGGGTTCATACTGTGATCAGTGATTCATGTCCTGATATGCTCCCCAAACATTTCATAACATAATCAGGAAGATCATTATCATAAATCACAGACCAATTATAGTCATTATTAGGGAATATACATGCTAATGAGCCGTCTCTTTTACTTGCAATAATGATTTAGTAGCTGCTGGTTTTGCACTTCGGTTCTCAAATAGCTCTGAAAAACTTGACAAAAAATTAATCACTGCCAATGTTAAAAAAGTATTTTGATATTGGAATATTTCACTATAACTATTTAATCAGGGTAGCTGAAATTACAGCAAATGTGCAGCAATAAAAGTGTGATATCTCCTGCTGTTTGGCTTGTGGGCTCTAAAATGTTGTGAAATCAAGCATGTCGAGATTAGCCCACTGCATTGAATTTTGCTAAGATGCATGTTAGCCTGAGCTGAAGCTTTTAGAATGGTTAAACACATATAAATACCACAATAAACGGCACTGTCCTTGCCATTTCATTCTGCATTTTACCGCAGCACAGCTACATGGAATGCTACAAAGCCCTTAATTTCAGACAAACAAATTTAGAGTTTAGTGATTTTCCATGCATTCCTAAGGATGCTTCTTATTGTGGAACACATATAGCTCATTGTTGATGTGAAATAAATGTTCTTTTCTATGAAATATATTTATTTGTCCTTGTGTGGTGTTACGTATCTATCAGAAGGGTTCTCATCAACAGATGATATCAGATTTGATTAGATGTATGATCAGTGAGCATGTATGGATGATAGAGACAGTATACCACAGCACATAAAAACATCTGTGTAAATCCCCCTCCCCCCTTTCGAGAGCTGGTTCAGTTCTAAATTAATGATCATCTCTGTCTGATGTTATGTAACAGGCTATGTTTAATGTGCAACAGACCAAATATCTCAGGCGTAACAGACTGCGCCTGAGCTAAGCTCTGAAAGGGATAATTTAGCATTTCAGCATCTATACCAGGCATGACCAAGCTTGCTCCTAGACCACTACTGCTAGATTCAATCAGTAAATATTAATATAAATAATAATAATAATAACAACGAATAATAGCTAATATTCAAAAGCTCCTGAAGACATTCATGGTTCTAAAACCTTTTTGACCCAGGGACTCCTCACTGCCATAGTGTCAACTTTAAATTGTATATGACTACTAGCTAGCTTAGCATAATTAGCAGAATGGTAAAAGCAGATGTACACAGCAGTCCTTGCTAAAAGTCTGTATTGTTAAAAATAAAGGTGGCAAGTAGAAAAAATGTTCTGGATTGATGCCATAGAGCAAGTACTTTTAGTTCCCTTAAAAATTAGGTTCCCTTACTGTCCTTTTCATTGGAAAGGAGTTTGCTGACTAGTGTAATTTTTACAACTTTTGTGATCAGTGAAGAATCAAGCAACAGTGTTTTTTTTCTTCCAGACTACAACCAACAAAGAAATCACTGTGGAAATAATATTATTTCTTGTAAGAATGTTTACATGAGTTAATTCTCCAACAAGAACCCTTCAGGAACCATTTCTAAGCAGTTCATGCATTTTCTGGTGTTAGAGAGGGGCTAACATGGCCATAACTAGCTATGAAGACACCTAGGTCTGGATCTCAGTAGTTTCAGAAGTCTTTTCACAGATCTCCATTCATGAGATGTGGAAACATACTTCTGATAATGCAGTAACCTACTCTAGGATGTAGCCACAGGA